GGCAAAATTGGGGATGAAGGGTTGGAATCAGACACAACATTCAGAGCAGATCCACAGAAATGGTTGACCATGGATTTTAGTGGGATTGGAAATCAAGTGTAGCTAAATCTGGTTTCAACCCAATACAGGTAGTCCTCACTTAGTAACCACAATGTCCATTGTGAAACACACAAATGGCAATCATACTGACCACAGGATGCTGTAAGGCTTGTAAACGAGCACTGGTTGTGAAACACCTGAATTTCTATCACATGGTCACAGGAACGCTGTGATAATCATTAAGTGTGAGGACCACTCACAATGCTACTTTTTCAGCACCATCATAAGTGCAAACAGTTGTTAAACAGAGTAGTCATTAAATGAGGTCCCCCTGTATTATCCCTCCCATTCATGGAACTCATGCTTGAAGACATATATGGTGCTAATTCTTCAAATCCTCCCTTAAAAACTGTGGCTAATTTAAGGCCCACCTTCTTCCTTCATTTCACCCTCTGTGCTTTGTTTTGTTCTGTTCCAAAGTTCTGCTTGAAAGTCTTCATTCATAGGAAACCCAACAGGAAGCAAGAATAGGACCGTATCTGATAGATTCTTGGTGGTGCAATGGTTAGAATGCAGTATTGCAGGCTACTTCTGGTGACTGCCGATGGTCAGCAATTCGAATTTCACCAGGCTCAAGGGTGACTCAGTCTTCCATCCTTCCGAGGTCAGTAAAATGAGGACTCAGATTGTTGGGAGCAATATGCTGACTTTGTAAACCGCTTAGAGAGGGCTGGAAAGTACTGTGAAGAGGTATATAAGTCTAAGTGCTATTGCTATCCAACACTCTACAGAATGCCCTCTTATTTTAGGCATTTTGGGGTCAATTTCTAGTTATTTAGGAATTCTTCTGCGGAGAAGAATCCTTCCATTATGGACATGATGCTGCACTATGGCAATTTCCTATTCTCTATGTGAGTAGTTCTCAACCTTTTCTTCATCATGCACCCCTTTAAATTTCTTTTGTGGCCATAGAGCCTTGGTAGTACAGTGGTCTAAAGCACCCTGTTATTAAGAACAGCTGCCTGCAATTACTGCAGGTTCGAATCTCGCCAAGGCTCAAGGTTGACTCAGCCTTCCATCCTTTCTAAGGTAGGTAAATTGAGGACCCGGTTTGTGGGGGCAATAAGCTGACTTTGTATAAATATAGAAAAGAATGAAGGCTATTGCTTAGCGCATTGTAAGCTGCCCTGAGTCTCCGGAGAAGGGCGGCATATAAATCAAATTAAAAAAAAATAATAATAAAAAAAATAAAAAATAAAAAGATCATGGCCTCGGATCCCCAACACTTAATTCAAGATTTAAATCAGTGGTGAAATCTGAACCGGTTTACTACCGGTTCACTGGCTGCGCATGTGCAGTGCGCACCACGCACCAAATGTGAGGTGTGCGGGCAGTGCACGCCAAAAGGAAGCATGCGGTAAGTAGAACAGTGCATGGGGGGTGTGATCAGCTGTGGCGCACAATCTTTTTTTAAAAAAGCATTGCTTTTAAAAGTTAAAAAAAAGCCTCTGATGATCGTGCTGCTCAGCTGGGATCGTCAGAGGCTTTTTTTAACCTTTTAAAAGCATTTTTTCGGCCGAAGAGGTTGTAAAAAAATGCTTTTAAAAGGCTCTGACGATCGATCAGGCAACTCAGCTGGGATCGTCAGAGCCTTTTAAAAGCATTTTTTTACAACCTCTTCGGCCAAAGAGGCTATAGAAAAAGTGCTTTTAAAAGTAAAAAAAAAAAAGCCTCTGATGATTGTGCGGCTCAGCTGGGCATGGGCGGGAGGGGGCAGGGATTTTTGCTACCGGTTCTCCAAACCACCCGCTGCCATCGCTACCGGATCGGGCGATCTGGTCCGAACCGGGAGCATTTCACCCGATTTAAATAAGAACATTTCTTCAAGACTTTGCAGACCCTCTGTGACATCGTGGGCCCCCAGGGGTCTGCGGACCAGAGGCTGAGAACCACTGTTCTATGTGTTCATTTGTGTCCATGTATGTAATTGACTCCAGATACATGGCAACCCCCCCACCCCCACCCCCACCCCGCTGTAATCCAGCACAAGAAGTGAGTGTGATAAGTAGCTACAATAGTACTGAGTGTATTTAGAAAAGAAAACTAGAGACAAATAGAAGGGAATATCATATCATGGCAAGAAATGTAGCTTGCTGCTGTTAGGAAGAAGGATAGTGAGAAATAGCTAATCCCCCCCCCCCACCTTAAATCCCACTTACTATAATGGAAGAAAGGTATGAGATTAAGGTCTACTGATCTTCACCAGATCTTCTGTTGATTTGCAGTCTTCTTCCAAGGAGATGGTTCATGTAGCAAAGTATCTCCCAGCTGAATTTCTTCAAAACTGTCTAGTCCACATGGATGATTTATGTTGATATTTTTGCTCTTCCTGTAGCAATGCTTTTGAGGCCAACCGTGCTTTCTTTCTGCTTGTCTGCAATGCTCATCAATCTGCCTGACCATTACTTGATTCTATCTCTGCACTGAATTATTATCTGGAAAGCCATGATTACTTTTTCCCCTGCAGCCCTGAAGAATTTCATACTAGTGTACAAAAAACTACGTAGCATTTGGTGTCTTTTCATTTCCTTGTGATGTACAGATTTTTCTGGCATTCTTGGCTTCTTAAATCCAGCTGTCCTTTCCCTGGACTTGTTATGTGCTAATGGAAGTTAGTAGCACCTCCAAAGATAATTCTTGCATTTTTCAAAAATGTAAATGAAGAGCTGGATGACTTATGACCTGCTGACTTCATGTGAACCTCAGCATAAATTTATAGCCTTCTTGCAAGAAAGAAAACTGTTGAAAGATATCTTTCCCTACACCCGTGGTTTACTGGGAGAAGGGGGAGGAGAAGGAAAGAGCATAAATGTATTTCTTTAAGAAAAAAAGATCCCACTCCTATTTTTGCCTTCAGCTTTACCCCGTCAAAAAGAAAACGGTTACAAAATAAAGAGAGGAAGAGGAGGAGGAAAGGGAAGGGGAGAGGGAGGAGGAGGAGCAGCTCTGGTTGAATTCTTACTCTGTCCCTATGACCTTATTTGAGGAACAGCATAAGGTTTGCTGGAATTTTTTAATTGCCTCTGGTAAGGGACCACTAATACGATTGTTACACTCTGAGGCAGCTTTCAACCTTGGCTGCTTTAAAAATATAAGCAGAATCAGACTTCCGCTGGTAGTTGATGAAATACTACCCCAAGTTGTGAAGTGGACTGAGAAATTGAAAGGAAAAAAACATTCCCAGACCCTCAAAGATCAAAGCAGTTCTGTACCATTACCATGAAAAGTACATGGATCTGTCTCTACAGTTCCCAGGAACCGAGCCTGACTCAAAGGAGACTTTACTGGTTATCTTTTGATTAGATTGAATAGCTCGTAGTTTATTACTGGAAGGGAATGGGGTGATGATGGAGCTGATAATTCTGCAGTTACACTTTCTTCCTTGCAATCAAGACCAGAAAGAGTTAATCAAGCATCTAGGAATGCTGGTTAATAGTATTCATTAATTTAGAGCAACAAAACTCAGATCCATTTCCTTGTGTGTTACATTTTTTTTCCCCCAGAGAAAGATGACTATCCTTCTTTGGTGAAAGATGTAACAGTCTGATTTGCTTACTGTTTGGACAACTCCCATTCTTATCCACACAAGAACTATGGTAACTGTTAAAATGCATCTCCAACCCTGGCAATTAACATCTTTGAAGGCAAAGTTGTGGACTTCCAGACATTCAACTTCTTCAATTCCAGTAATGATGAAACAGTTCCAACTTATGAAAAGCTTTGCTGGTTTGTGCCCGTAACAGAGATGGATTGAATTTATGAAAAACTGTAATCACCACCCCTGAAGAGGTGCTTTGTCTTCTTTCCTGGGGAGCAATAGTGGGGGGGAAATATTTTGTGATGAAAATATGCATCCAATGCATCAAACGTGTGATACTGTAGGATTATATCAAGCATTGTGAAGAATTTAGGCAATATAAATTTCTAAAAAACAGTAGCATCAGGTAAGATGGAGAAAAAGTTCTAGCAAGAAGTAGTCCAGCATTCTAACGAAAGGGAGACATGAGTAACTGATACATCATAACCAAGAAAGAATCCTGGAAAAGAGACTCTACAGGATGAGGATGGGTGAAATAAGCAATTAAGGCAAGATCCCACCTTGGTAATTAAAAAGATGAGAAAATCTACCAGAGAGGGAACCTAACCAAGTTTTAAAGAGTTGGACAACTTTCTAAATCTGATAAAAGTAAGTTAAATAAGATGAAATTTGAGTTGGAAGAAGGTAGCAATTTTTGAGATCGAAGGCTAAAGGTTCAACAGGTTACCCTAAAAGTCACCTGGTGAGTCCACATCTAAGGCTGGAATTAGGATGGCTGAACTTGGCTTCCTGGAGAATTTAGCCTCCTGGGCTATGAATAACTTTGAATCCAGCACCTTTCACCTAGAAATGAAGCAGAAATAGCCGCAACACGCAGCTGATGTCCTTTTCTCCACTCCCTTCCCTCTTTGATGCCGTTTTCTAAAACCTCGCCAAAAGTGAGTGTTTGGGTGCGCCTCTCCTGAGCGTATATACGAAAGTGTGTGTTGTATACGGAGAGAATATTTGGAGATCAGGAGAGAGCAAGGAAGAAGGGAAGGGATCCCCCGTTGCCCACAGCTTCTGCCCGCCCGCCCACCCCCAGCCCAGAATCGGGAGCCGGGCCGAGCCCTTTGCGCAAGCAGGCGACAGATGAGAGCGAGCAACCAGGGAGGCGTCGCTCCGCTTGCCTCCGAGATGCCAAGGCGCTCCCGAGGAGGAGGAGGAGGAGGAGGAGGGGATTAAAAAAGTGACTTTCTCATCTTTCCACTAGGCTAAGCTCCCCCCACCGGCCGATGGCCCCGCCCCGAGGCCCTTGGCACGTCCCCGATTGGTGGGCAGGCCGGTGCCTTTGAAGTGTGCTGCAGACCGGAGCTATTAGACGTGTAGCTCAGGGAAAGGCAGGGCTTTTTCCCCCCTCCGTCTCTCGCTGGGGCCGGTGCGGTCGTCCTTGCTGCCGCCGCCGCTTCCACAACGCGCCCTGCCCGGGGTTTGGCGCTGCGGAGCTTGCCTCTCCCCCCCCTTTTCCCCCCTCCCCAGCCCTGCCCTACCCCACCCCCGCCCGGCCCGGCTCGCTCCCCCAAATGAGCGGCGGTTCGCCCGCTGGATCTAACGCAAGGACATCGCCCAGCAGCAGCAGCGGCGGCGGCGGAGGAGGAGGAGGAGGCGGCGAAGGCTCGGCCGCCGCCTCGTCAGCCCAGCCTTCCGGAGCCGTGTGCCCGGTGTTCTCGCACCTGTCCCCGGAGGACCCCCTGCGCCAGGCCAACCGGCTTCCCATCAGGATCCTGAAGATGCTGAGCGCCCACAGCGGTCACCTCCTGCACCCGGAATATCTGCAGCCGCTCTCCTCCACGCCCGTCAGCCCCATCGAGGTCAGTGCCAAGTCCGAGCCTTCCTCCGGCCGCCCGCCGAGCTGGGCCTTTGGGCTTCCGCTGCTGCCCTCGCGCTTCCCCGGGCCGGCTCTCGCTCTCTCTCCTCTCCCCCTTAGTTCGGGGAGCTCTGCCCCCGCTGCCTGGCGCCCCAGTCGTGGAGAGGGCCGGCGAAGGGCGCTTGCCTGCGAGCGAGCCTCAAACCCGAACCGATTTGGCTGGGCGGCCTGTTGACGGCGGGGGGGGGGGGGGCGACGAAAGAAAGCTGTATTGCGATCTTCGGCGCCTTCTTCCCCAACTTTGCGCCGCGCTTTAATTCTGCTGCTTCCAAAGGGGGCAAAGGGGCGCATGAAGGGCTTTGTAGCGGAATAGGCCGGGCAGAAGAAGGGCCCCATTTGGGGAGGACTTAGGTCCGCCACTTCGGGTTCCGGCGCGGGCGGCTGCACGTCGGAAGGACCAGGACCCGTGTTGCCGATGACCTTCCGGCGGGAAGGAGAAAGGGGTCAAGGCCGAGGAAAAGGAAGGGAGCCCGGTTAGAGGACGGTGGGAACTCTTGTCCCTCGGGAGCTCCAGTTTCTGGTGCGCTGCGACCCGGGAGCCCCGCTTTTCTCATTCGCCTCTCCTCTCTCCTTCCTCCCATAGCTGGACGCCAAGAAGAGCCCCCTGGCGCTGCTGGCGCAAACCTGCTCGCAGATCGGGAAGCCGGATCCGCCGCCCGCTTCCAAACTCAACTCCGGCACGGCCGCCGGGCTCTCTGGGCCGGACAAGGAGTCGAGCGGTCGCGCCGCCAGTGCCGGAGGCGGCAGCGCCCTCAAGCAACTGGGCGACGCGCCCGCCGAGGACAAGTCGAGCTTCAAGCCGTATTCCAAAGGCGGAGGCGGCGGCGGCGGCGGCGGCGATCCGCGGAAGGACGGCGGCGTCCCGCCGAACCAGGCCGGCCCGGGCGCGGAGAAGAACGGCTTCCGAGTTCCCAGCGCCGCCTGCCCTCCTTTCCCCCCGCTGGCCGCCTCTTCCTCTTCCACCTCCTCCTCCTCTCCGGGCGGCTCGAGGGGCAATTCCCCGCAGCACTCGGACTGCAGAGGCCTGGACGAGAAGAAGGAGTCGGAGGTCGCGGCCAAAGCCAGTCCAGACGGCGCGACAGGAGCCGGAGGCAGCCGGGCGCGCGCCGGCAGCGTGGAACCCGGGACGCAAAGCGAGGCGGCTTCGGGGCGCAAGTCCGAACCTCCGGCCTTGGCGTCGGCGGGCCACGTGGCGCCGGTGTCTCCTTACAAGCCGGGTCATTCGGTGTTTCCTTTGCCCCCCTCCGGCATCGGCTACCACGGCTCCATCGTGGGGGCGTACGCGGGGTATCCTTCCCAGTTCGTCCCCGGCTTGGATCCTACCAAGCCCAGCCTGGTGAGCGGCGGCCAACTGCCGGGGGCCTTGGGGCTCCCGGGGAAGCCCCCCAGCTCCAGCCCGCTGACGGGGGCCTCCCCGCCTTCCTTCATGCAGGGATTATGCCGAGACCCCTATTGCCTGAGCTACCACACCGCCTCCCACCTGGGCACCAGCAACTGCTCCAGCTGCGTCCACGACCCGGGCAGCCTGAAAAGTGGATATCCCCTGGTGTATCCCACCCACCCGCTCCACAGCGCCCTCTCCTCCAGCGCCACGCCCAGCCTGTCCGGCCATTCGCTCTACACCTACGGCTTCATGCTGCAGAACGACGCCCTGCCCCACATATGCAACTGGGTGTCTGCTGGGGGACCTTGCGACAAGAGGTTTGCCACCTCCGAGGAACTGCTGGCCCATTTAAGGACCCACACGACTCTGCCGGGGGCGGAAAAACTTTTGGCTGGTTATCCTACCTCGGGGCTGGGCTCCGCTGCGTCCTGCCACCTCCACCTCCCGCCTGCCGCTCCGGGGAGTCCCAGCTCCTTACCCGGATCTCTGTCGTTGAGAAGCCCGCAGACTTTGGGACTAAACCGCTATCATCCCTACGGCAAAAGCCATTTGCCGACGGCTGGGACCTTGCCGGTCCCTTCCTTGCCTGCAGCCGGACCCTACTACTCCCCCTATGCCCTTTATGGCCAAAGACTGACCTCAGCCTCTGCACTTGGATATCAGTAACTCCAGCAGCCCTGCCCTCTCTTGCGACCTCGCCTCCGGAGTGTGTATTTATTTCCTGTATGTTAGCTTAAAGCTGGGAAAATAAGTGCATTAATACACCAATGAATCAATGGTATGCAAAACGTCTGTGTCCCCCCATTTTCCAAAATCTGACCCACTTTTATCTTTTTTTTTTAAAGCAAAATGTTTTGTCCATGTGGGGGGAGGAAGCTTACTGTATTTTCTTTTTTCCCCCTTTAAATATTATTTTTTAAATGAAAACTTTGCCCTGGTCCCCAGGAATGCCTGGCATGATGTTCAGCGAAATGCTTTTCTTCCTTCTCCCTCCTTTCTCTACCATACCCCCTTATTTTAGTTTGGTTCTATTCTTGGTTTCGGTTTCTTTGGCTTTTGTATAGTAACTGGAAATTATTGTTGTTGTTTTTTGTCTTGAGAAAGAAAGAAAGAAAGAAAAGAAAGAAAGAAAGAAAGAAAGAAAGAAAGAAAGAAAGAAAGAAAGAAAGACAAATGGGGAGGTCAGGTTGGCTGGGAAATTATTTGGTGGCTTTGTTTTAACTGTGGAAGCAGAAGGCGGGATGATCGGACTCACCTTGGGACTGGGAAGCGGCTGGCACTGGGCTGGCGGTGCCGAGAGCTTGGTGGTTCTACATAGAACCCATCGTCCTGTCTCCACTGCAGAAACTAAATCACCTGTGCTCTCAGAGTAAGTGGATGGATGCCCTAAATAAAAAGGAGAGCATCCAACCACTGGAATTTTTTGGGTGAAGCTGAAGCCCCCTCCCATAAAAGAAGGGGCATGCAAGCCTTCCACCATCTTTCACACTTATTTTATTTTATTTTGCTTTGGCTTCTTTTTTGTTCTCTCCCCTCCCTTCACCCCCCCACCCCGCTTTTTCTCTCTTCAAAAGACCTGAATTTTAAGGAAATTAGCAAGCATCCTTGAGGGACTGGAAGAGAACAATCTTCTTATACGCCAAATGAGGAACTCGGAGAACTTTTGCTCAGTCTGGTTTCGAGCTGGATCCTCAAGTCCAGCTAGTAGCCCTTGGGGGCCTCTTTATCTTTCTCTGTAGACTCAAATCTACGTACCAAAAAACCCCAACCAACAAAAAAAAAATCACTCCCCTTTCTTCCCTAATGACCCTATCGCCCACTTTCTCTTGACCTGTGGGAATGGAACAGCTGTTAAGGTGCGGAACTCCTCCCCAAATTGCAGAACTAAGCAGCACGGAAGGCTGCAGATCTTTTGGGGTGAATAGAACTCCCTCCTGGTAAGTCTTATTTTGTTAATAAATGAATACTTGCTATATCTACCCCATCGCGTGTGCTCTTTTGCATTCTCCCTTCGCCTTCCTGCGCTACACCTTCCCCTTGACTGCTTGGTTGTGCGAGGCGGCCTTGAAAATTCAAAGACAACAACCCAAAGAGTGGCCAAACCACGAACAGAGCCCTTTGTTTTTAAGGCGACTGAACGGTGGAAGTGGAGATCACAGTCATCTAATGCATCAAGCCATCCTCCGGTTGTGGTTTGTGATTTAGTGCATTGGGCAAGCACAACTGATTCAGTCTGCCATGCTGGGAGGGGAAGGTCGCTTGTGTGTCTGGCCTATTCATGGGGGAAACTGAGGCAAGATTGTTCTGATCAGGAATTGCAGGGGAAGAGAAGTATTGGGTCTTTGGCCAGCAGGACGGATTCACGTAATGCCTTTGTCTCTAATATGCTACCGTTCTTTCTGCAAGCTTCAGAAGGGAGGGGGGGATGTTCCAAAGCAATGTGCCTGCACCACTCATATTCCTTATTGTCTGACTGCCACCTCAGCAAAATGATGCTTCATTCTGCTGAATGCGTAAAGTCTGCCTGCAGCTGCTCTCTCTGCTAAGTGTTTCTCTTGAGCTAACTCTATTCAGTGGAGTGGTTGAGTTCTCCTTATAGGAAATATATACCAACTGGAGTCCAGGAAAGACTTTTTAAGGGGGGTGGGAGGGAGAGAGAGATTGAAAGAAAAAGAGAGAGAGAGAGAGAGCAGGGTTTAAAAACCTTCCTGGGAAATGGAGCGTGGAAGAGCTGCAGCACTACCTAGTGGTGGAGAAAAGTAAAAAACCTTTTGCATCCTCTTTGAGAGTACTGTTATGGTTATGGATAGATACCGTGCTAAGAACGGTGCTTTATTATCAGGGCTTTGGCACATTTTTCCCAAAGGCACCGAAATGCCAAGGGATTTACCTCTCTATTGTTCTGATTTTGATTCAGATTTTTTTAGAGTCCAGCTTCATCCACTGCAAGACATCTTGAGAACTCGGAAGGGACGGGATGTATATATTTTTTCATGTTCCTCTTTCAACTCCCCTGGATCCATTCATTGCCTCAAGACCCGGATCATTCAGCAACCTTTTTAAAATATATGTTAAGGATGTCCTTTTATTTTCCTTTCCTGCCAAGAGTACACGCAACGGCACTAGTTGGCTTTTGCACTGAAGGACATTGGGATGTTCAAAGTCAGTCTTTTTCGCAGCATAATCCTTTGCTTCTCATCCAAGAAGCTTCTTCAGTTCTGACTGAATGGTAGAAAACTGAAGAAGCTTCTTGGATAAGAAGTGAAATGTCTTCAAGAAGAAACAAAGTCCAGTTGCCTTTTGAAAAAGCATCTTTGGGACAACCATGACCTGGATGACTGAGGATCTCCATAGATAATCCCCGTGTTTCCATGCCATAGGCAAACTGGGACTTTTCAGGATGGTTTGGACTTCAGCAAGCATCAGCTCTAGGATGCCTGCCCTGTGGGAAATGGAAGGGTATTTGGATTTGACACAAAGGAGCTCAGCATTATATCTGTTGGTGAGTCCGTTGAATAACTTTTGTTTGGGTATTCTTTTACTTCTCCCATAATACCCACCTGCTTTGTTCATTGGGCAAGTAACAGCTTTTCCAATCCAGGTGTATCAATTCATAATGCCCCTATCTAGTAGATCTTCTGCCAGGAGTTGGACTGCAGGATAGAACATCTTCTACTATAGTTGAAGGATGCTTGTGAGAATTTTCACCTTTTCTTTATTTTCTTGACCCAGTAACCAGGCACCACAAGGTAGACCCAACTGTATGTTGGCCATAAATTTGCTGTTTACCAGAATGGGGCCTTTTTTGAGGATACCTAATTTAGAGTGAAGCATTTGAAGGCTGCTGAGATATTGCTAAAGTACAATTTTCATCAGCCCCAGTCAAGGTAGCCTGTAATAAAGATTGCTAGGAGTTGGATGCCCATCAACATCTGAAGAAGTACAAATTCTCTCCCTCTACTGTAAGGCTTTAGCCTGGATAATTGTCAAGGATTTGAAAAACAACTGCCTTATCAACACTTCTCCCAAAGCTAATTGATGAATTGGAGGATAGTTTTGCTATTGAAGATGGAAAAAGTGATTTAAGATTAGCAGGTTTTATTGGAGGTAATCATGGATGTCAACCTGTAAGAATGGCAGTAACAGCTTTATCCAGAAATAATACTTTGATCCATCTAGGATGGTCCTCACTGCTCAATTTTGTTTATACCAGCCTTCTATAACCTGGGCATTGCCAAATGTGTTGAGTTAACTCCCAGAATTCTCAGTGGTAATGACTGAAATTGATATCCAAACATTGGAGTGAACTCCGATTGAGCAAGATTCACCAATTTGTAGTTTCAGATAGGGATTATTCTCAGCGAAACTTGGAAATGAGAGGGCTTGAACTCTGAACCTACTCTCTTAAAAAGGGTATAGTTACAGGCTTGGCCACCTCCTAGTGGTACCGCTGGATATGGACTTTAAGTGCCTGAACTAAGAGCCAATCCACCCCTCCACAGGTCCAACTACTCTGTGGAGGGCCTGTTACTGGATACTAGCCTTAATATAGTATAAATCCTGTTCCCCCAGAATTATGGACACCAGTAACACAGACATGAATGCAAATTGTTCTACTATTGAGTGATTAAGGTTCTTCCATCACATTTTAAACACTTGTAGTAGGAAGTGCCATATTACAAACTGTATTGCCCAGCTAATAAAGTCAGATGAAACTACTTTCTGTTTATATATTTATGGACAGGAGTAATGAGAATAAGTGCTTGGGTTCAAATATGACTTTTCAAAGATATAAAAAATGACTGTGTAAAATACTGTACAGCTTCAAGCTCAAGTTATAGCTACTCACAAATGTGGCTCATAGCTAGCTGTATACGTGATATTCATTTTTAATTTTCAGAGATTGCTCCATTAATTGGGCTAGCAACACATCTTTAAGCTAAGATAAAATGAGATTAATTAGTTCAGCATGCGTGGGAGCCCCAGCCATTGTTTTTAGCATGTCGCGTGACAAGCCATCAGGTTATGCTGCAATATGATTGATGAAATGTTATGGGAGTTCAGGAATTGAGGGCTTATGTAGGGGGTTACATGAAGTCAACCAATTGTCTGTTTAGCCATGGTGAACAAGATGAGATGACACAAGAAACTTCCTGCAGAGCAAGCTGCTGCCGGCAATGGTTTCTCCATAGCTTGGACTGAGTTCAGATGCAGAAGTGATTTCTTCCTTCTTTCCTTTCCTTTCCTTTCCTTCTTTCCTTTCCTTTCCTTTCCTTTCCTTTCCTTTCCTTTCCTTTCCTTCCTTTTCCTTTTCTTTCCCTTCCCCTCCCCTCCCCTCCCCTCCTCTCCCTTACCTGGAGGTTTGGAACTACACCTTTCATGATCTTGTCATCAAGAGTGCTCTTTCAATTTCTGTCCAGATGGGAACTGAACTCCAGATCATCTGGAGGGTTTCAGGGTTGCCGCCACCCTGTTCTAAACAAAGTAGAAGTGCTTGTTCTTTACCACACGGAATGGCAACCATGTGTTTCGCCTTCTCAGCAACTCAACTGCCAGTAGAGTGTATGAAACAAGCCAGTAAAAGTCTTAAGAAGACTCTTGCTAGATCAGCACAAATACCTTTTCAGTCTCCCATCTATTTCCTGCAGTGGCCGAGCAGATGCCTATGAGAGAGGCTTGTAAGTAGAATGGACAGGAGAGCACGCTCACTGCTCTTTCTGAGATAAGTTTTCCAGCAACTTATAGTCAGGCATTTCATCCTCAATACTAGGGATACTATAACCACTGTGAACTTTCTGATCAGGGCAAAAAAGTTTAGTATCAACTTTCATACTGTACATTTGGCCGATGCTCAATGACATCTGGTTTCTTCAGCCTATCAGAATTTACTTTCGATCTGACTATGACTTGCAGAAAATCAAAGTTAACAGATCGGTTGTTAAGATGTTGATGTTGTTATTGATGTTATTATTGTCAACTCAATTGATTTAGTTGCAGTGGCAAATACTGACAAGAATCTAGTCCATTTCCCTTTGCTTTGTCCTGTTTTGGTTCCTAAAGGAAAATGAGGAGGAAATAGAGGAAGACTAGGCTGCTTAGCCAGTTTTGAAATGTGGCCTCTTCTGTTAGCGTGCACATGTTCATGCATGTCTGTAATCCTACATATTTAATAAAATACTGGAAGATTACTATTTATTGCAAAGCTTTTTGCAGACAGCTGTCAAACTGGCAGCACAAACTAGAGGTTAGACAGTTACCGCTGTTTCTGAAACTTCCTTGCAAAAGTTTAAATTAGTTTTTGAATCTGGATTATACATCTGGCATGGCAATGTGCGTGCAGAATCTTCTCTCCAGTCAGTAATACAAATACACTAGGGAGAATTTCAGAGGTTAAGGTGCAATTGTAAATTATTTTTGCAAGTGTACAATTTCATTCACTGCTTTTTAAAAACATCTATGAAGCTGTAAAAATAAGCTACCAGAAGACCACAGAGCTGGAAATAATACCTTGTAGAAAGTTTCTATGCCATGAAAATTTTCACGGGGCCTTGAGCACCTGTTTTTCTTAGTTTTAGCATAATATTTCAGAGGTGAGAAGTTTCATGGATGAGATGCATTTAAAGAAGGCACCTCCTTTTCTTTCCTTTGATAAGGAGCCAATGGAACAACTCTCATTTATTTGTTGTTCTTTCTTTGTTTAGATTTTTTTTCCTCCATGGAGGCCATCTCTGATACGAAGCAAATTATGTGCAAAAATTGTGTCGTTATTTTGATATAAATTCAGGTGTTTGAAACTAAACATTCTTTTTGTTCTGCTCTGCTTCCCAAGAGCTCTCTTCACTGCAAGTAGACCCTCTGGCATTTCTTTGTCTATATAATCCAGCTTTCCCTCTACTGTATTTTTTAAAAGAAAAATAATGACATTTCCTCTGTCTTGAGATTTCCAGTGTTTTGACAACTCCTCATTCACACAGATAGTC